AATCCCCACCACCTAGGGATGCTTCCAGTCAAATATGGTTGATATCCATGGCATAGTTCTACAGAAGAAGTCGTTTGTAGCAATATAGCCAAATTGACCCCTTTTTGCCCCGCCCCTCAGCCCCCTGGGGGTCAGCCCCATCATTTGTACAATTTTGAATCCCCACCACCTAGGGATGCTTCCAGTCAAATATGGTTGATATCCACTTCTAAGTTCCAGAGAAGACGTCGCTTAAAGCAATATAGCCAAGTTGACCCCTTTTGGCCCCGCCCCCCAGCCAACTTGGGGGTCAGCCCCACCATTTGGACAATTTTAAATCCCCACCACCTAGGGATGCTTCCAGTCAAATTTAGTTGAATTCCAATCAGTGGTTAAGAAGAAGAAGTCTTTTAAAGAAATTGTTGATGGACGGACGACAGACGACGGACGGACGGACAGACGGATGGACGCCACGGTATGGCATAAGCTTACAAAAAAAACACCTTATTCAATATCTAGCATACAGATTTAAGACTAAAAAGTATTTGAAACTAGCACCTCTGATTCTAAACAAGGAAAATGAAGAAATTTTAGCACACTGACTCCTTTGGGCCCCGCCCTACAGCCCTTGGGGGTAGGGCTGGCTCAAAATTTTCATAGTATCAACCTGTCAACTCAGGGTTATAATTCCAATCAAGTTATTAACGGGGGGAAACGTGAGTCCCAAGGGTCATGAAATTCACAATTTTGGTAAAGCACCTTAACACCCTTCCATCTATGAAGAGTATTTTCTTCTACCATATCTGGGTCTTGAGAAGAAGATTTTTGAAATTTTAGTCAATTTGACCCTTTTTGGCCCCGCCCCTCAGGCCCCTGGGGGCTGGGGACCAAACCAGCCACTATTTTTGTTGACCTTTGGCCATGGAAGGTTTCTGCAAAATTTCATTGAAATTGGTTTTGGAGAAGAAGTCGAAAATGTAAATTGTTTACAGACGCAAGCCGGCCGCCGGCGGACAAAAGGCGCTCGCAATAGGTCACTTGAGACTTTGTCGCAGGTGACCTAAAATACCTTGCTTGGTTGTTTAGGTTTAGGTTTAGAGGACCTACCTTGTTTGGTTGTTTGGGGTTAGGTTGGGAGGACCTACCTTGCTTGTTTGGTTGTTTGGGTTAAGGTTGGGAGGACCTACCTTGTTTGGTAGTTTGGGTTCTGTATTGTTTGGTTGTTTGGGTTTAGAGGACCGACCTTGTTTGGTTGTTTGGGTTTAGTTTAGAGGACCTACCTTGTTTGGTTGTTTGGGTTTAGTTTAGAGGACCTACCTTGTTTGGTTGTTTGTGTTTAGGTTGGAAGGACCTACCTTGTTTGGTTGTTTAGGTTTAGGTTGGGAGGACCTACCTTGTTTGGTAGTTTGGGTTCTGTATTGCTTGGTTGTTTGGGTTTAGAGGACCTACCTTGCTTGGTGGTTTGGGTTTAGAGGACCTACCTTGCTTGTTGGTTTGGGTTAAGGTTGGGAGGACCTACCTTGTTTGGTAGTTTAGGTTTAGGTTGGGAGGACCTACCTTGTTTGTTTGGTTGTTTGGGTTTAGGTTGGGAGGACCTACCTTGCTTGTTTGGTTGTTTGGGTTTAGGTTGGGAGGACCTACCTTGTTTGGTTGTTTGGTTGTTTGGGTTTAGGTTGGAGGACTTACCTTGCTTGGGTTTGGGTTTGACCTACCTTACTTGATCGTTTGAATTTAGATGACCTACCTTGCTTGGTTGTTTGGGTTTAGGTTTGACACTGATGAACACATCCAGCTGCTCCATCAGCTGTGTTATGCGAGCTGGAAAGGATAAGGCGAATATAAATCCAAAAATACCTTCCAGACATACAAATTTCAAGTCAAAAATGGTTTTCAATGAAGTTAAGATAATAATACTTAGCCAAAAACCAATTCCTAACATTAACAGGAAAATCATTACCCGATGTTGGCATCATTTACATTCATGTCTACACATCTTATGTCAGATCACTATTAACTGATTATGTCTGATTATTCTAAAAGTTTTCATTATTAATGGTAGGGAAAAACATTGTATAGCTAGTACTTCCCAATTCCTCACTTTTATAGACATTCATTAAATAACATTCAGTGGTTCAGTAGTAACGGTCCAGACAATGGTAGTATCAATTTGACATTTGACCTCTATACCTACAGTCTGGATGAGATGCCGGGAACACAATGGTTTTCCACATTACATAGGTTAAATTTACAGTGATAGGCAGATACGGATATCAAACTATGGAGATTTCAACTACTGCCACTAACATTCAGACCTTATTAAATCTGAATGTAGACTTATGGTTTTCTTATTCAGAAACCAACTTCTGACAGTGTTCTTTTTAACCATATATCATTAAAATTGCTAAAGAACAGAATGATGTGTTAATATAAAAAGTGAACAATTCTAAGACCGAAATAACATGTTTATCTTATAATTGGAAGAAGTGAAGATAAGTATTTACCTTGATCCATGTCTATCTCATCTTTTACATCAAACATAAGGACCAGGGGTAGACAACCCTGAAAAGGAAATTCACAATTTATCCAATACAGTTATGCAGAAACATTACCATTAATAAAATTAAATATAATGGTACAATATCTCTACCCTAGTTTTCTACTGCTATGTTACCAGTAGTCATTCATATAACATTTGAGAATTTGTAGATCAATTGAAGTCAATGTAATAGGACCACTGTTATTAACATCTAAACACTGCTGCTAGATAGAGTACACACCTATAACAGTTTACTGTTGTTACCATCTAAACACTGCTGCTAGATAGAGTACACACCTATAACAGTTTACTGTTGTTACCATCTAAACACTGCTGCTAGATAGAGTATACACCTATAACAGTTTACTGTTGTTACCATCTAAACACTGCTGCTAGATAGAGTATACACCTATAACAGTTTACTGTTGTTACCATCTAAACACTGCTGCTAGATAGAGTATACACCTATAACAGTTTACTGTTGTTACCATCTAAACACTGCTGCTAGATAGAGTATACACCTATAACAGTTTACTGTTGTTACCATCTAAACACTGCTGCTAGATAGAGTATACACCTATAACAGTTTACTGTTGTTACCATCTAAACACTGCTGCTAGATAGAGTATACACCTATAACAGTTTACTGTTGTTACCATCTAAACACTGCTGCTAGATAGAGTATACACCTATAACAGTTTACTGTTGTTACCATCTAAACACTGCTGCTAGATAGAGTATACACCTATAACAGTTTACTGTTGTTACCATCTAAACACTGCTGCTAGATAGAGTATACACCTATAACAGTTTACTGTTGTTACCATCTAAACACTGCTGCTAGATAGAGTATACACCTATAACAGTTTACTGTTGTTACCATCTAAACACTGCTGCTAGATAGAGTATACACCTATAACAGTTTACTGTTGTTACCATCTAAACACTGCTGCTAGATAGAGTATACACCTATAACAGTTTACTGTTGTTACCATCTAAACACTGCTGCTAGATAGAGTATACACCTATAACAGTTTACTGTTGTTACCATCTAAACACTGCTGCTAGATAGAGTATACACCTATAACAGTTTACTGTTGTTACCATCTAAACACTGCTGCTAGATAGAGTATACACCTATAACAGTTTACTGTTGTTACCATCTAAACACTGCTGCTAGATAGAGTATACACCTATAACAGTTTACTGTTGTTACCATCTAAACACTGCTGCTAGATAGAGTATACACCTATAACAGTTTACTGTTGTTACCATCTAAACACTGCTGCTAGATAGAGTATACACCTATAACAGTTTACTGTTGTTACCATCTAAACACTGCTGCTAGATAGAGTATACACCTATAACAGTTTACTGTTGTTACCATCTAAACACTGCTGCTAGATAGAGTATACACCTATAACAGTTTACTGTTGTTACCATCTAAACACTGCTGCTAGATAGAGTATACACCTATAACAGTTTACTGTTGTTACCATCTAAACACTGCTGCTAGATAGAGTATACACCTATAACAGTTTACTGTTGTTACCATCTAAACACTGCTGCTAGATAGAGTATACACCTATAACAGTTTACTGTTGTTACCATCTAAACACTGCTGCTAGATAGAGTATACACCTATAACAGTTTACTGTTGTTACCATCTAAACACTGCTGCTAGATAGAGTATACACCTATAACAGTTTACTGTTGTTACCATCTAAACACTGCTGCTAGATAGAGTATACACCTATAACAGTTTACTGTTGTTACCATCTAAACACTGCTGCTAGATAGAGTATACACCTATAACAGTTTACTGTTGTTACCATCTAAACACTGCTGCTAGATAGAGTATACACCTATAACAGTTTACTGTTGTTACCATCTAAACACTGCTGTTAGATAGAGTACACACCTATAACAGTTTATTGTTGTTACCATCTAAACACTGCTGTTAGATAGAGTACACACCTTTAACAGTTTACTGTTGTTACCATCTAAACACTGCTGCTAGATAGAGTATACACATATAACAGTTTAATGTTGTTACCATCTAAACACTGCTGCTAGATAGAGTATACACATATAACAGTTTAATGTTGTTACCATCTAAACACTGCTGCTAGATAGAGTACACACCTATAACAGTTTACCGTTGTTACCATCTAAACACTGCTGCTAGATAGAGTATACACCTATAACAGTTTACCGTTGTTATATAAATGTGTTGGGTACAAGATGCTGTATCACACACTCTATGACATCTCTATGGCTGTAAACCACTGATCTGATGCTAAGTGAAAATTGAATGAACTCTGACTATATGTATTTCAACTCCCCTTTCACTATATTAATGTTACTCATTTGGTGACTTTATCTTGTGTGTCAATGATGACCACTCTGCTTTATTTTCCAAATTGATCCTAATGGGTTTTTTTTATCACATATTTTGATGTTTCAAGACTTAAACATAACCATATTGAAGGTATAGATAACCACATCTTTTCCTTCATATGACAGTATCTGAACTCATGACAACACAATGCGAGATATTTCAGCCTTTATGTTACACCCTGACATAGAATGCTCTGAACCAAGGAATGGTCCTGATTTGGAAAGGTCCTATAATACAACCAAAGAATGACCCTGATATAGAAAAGGGAATGGTCTAGATTGTTTGAGATTTAAGTGGGTTTTTTTAACCAAATCTTTGAGGAATTCTGTGTACAGGTTGATAACTTACGATGAGATGTTGGCGTGCCAGGAATACACTCTCTATGTTACCAGTGATATAAAAGGTTCCCTTTCTCTGGGGCGTCACAGTGGTGGGGTCTGGAAAGTGGATACTCGCACCTGTCCTTGTCATAATCTGCTTAACATTCATACCACCTCGGCCTATGATGAACAAGTGGTGCTGTGGGGCAATTTCTAGCTGCATACTGACCGGCAGTTGTGCCTGAAACACAGGAACAGGAAACAACATTCAACACTGACTAATCAATTAGTGGACAACAGTAAGACATCTTGGAGAACATCTTAATGGTTAAAGAAACATGCTACAACCATTTTATATTGATATCATAAATAAGGGGATGTATAGCAATGGTAAGCAATCCATAATGCCTACCTCCAGACAAATGTTGGTATGAGAAAGTCAGAAAGGGCCATAACTCTGATATGCAATTTTAGCAAAAATACTCCACCCTCCCAAAAGCTATTGGCATACCAAATCCATTGTGGGAGGAGTGTATATGCCCTAGGAATGTGACACATGATAAACAAAGGGCTGTAACTCGGTATATAATGGGGTACTAAACCTGATTTGGGTATGACACACTCCGCCTGAGATATTGTGAGGCATGGACAGACAGACAAATGTGAGATAGGACCACTGTCTGTGAGATATGTAAATTGGGAGATAGCATACATACAGTCACATTGCCTTTAATATAGACACACACTGATGGTGAGATAGAAAACAGTCAAAGATTGCTATGAAATAACATACTTACTCCTTGGCAGTCAGATAGTCAGACTGCAGGTGAGATAGTCACCCAGATGGTGAGATACTTACAGACACATTGCTTGTTAGGTGCTCCATAAGACTAGCTGTGCCCTCCTTCACCGACTTGGCATTACATACAGAGCCCCTTACAATCACCGTTGTTGCATAGACACGAGGTCGCTGGCGGAAGCTGATGGCGACATTGTACTGCTGCTGCAGCTGCTGAATGGTTGGTGACGAGGCGTCAGGGAGAGGCTGCAGGACTCCCGACACTGGTAACTCAAACATAAACACCAACGGCAACAGTTCCTGGTGACAGAAAGCACAAAACAAGTTAAAGGTACTTAGTTCATTCATTCTAAAATTAAAGATTTTGTTAAAAAACCCATCTACAAATGTGTAAATTGTATAGTGTTACATAACAACAAGTCATTGTATACCCAAGCTTGCATGTTACAATCTTCTGTTCTTGGTTGTGGTCAAGTGTAGACATTCTATTTAATAAGATTGTAAATCCTAAGCAGATATGCCAGAAAACTTCAGTAGCTGTCTACTTAAGTTGGATGTGTATTTATACTAACAAGAGGCCCAATGGGCCTGCATCGCTCACCTGTTATTAATCTAACACTTGTAATCTTAAGATTTCATAAGAACCTATTAAAAGATTTAAACATATGACGCCTCTGACCTTGATTGTTGAACAAGGACATTATGTTGAAAGTGGATCAAGGTTATTTTTGGCCCTTTTGCTTATTGAAAAGAAGTCGCTTGAAGATTTTACGACATTTGACCCTGTGACCTTGAAAGTTGGTCAAGTTCATTCAGTTGGACAAACTTGATAGTCCTTCATCCCAGCATGCTACAGGCCCAAT